TAAGTGGCCGACACCGAGAAAGGCTTCGGGGTGCACCTGATAACTGGGTGCTGATGTTACATTCTGGTCCCTAGGGGCAGAATAACAGAGTGATTGAGAGCAGTGATTTACAGTCACTTGGTTCTGAGTTCTAATCTTGCCTCTGCCCACTGGCTAGCCAGGATGATGTTGGGCAAGTCTCCGAGCTTCCATTTACTCCTCTGTACACTGGGGCTGATGTGCTCTGGAGACACATGAAGGCATGCCCTATTAGAGGGATCCGATGGAGATCAGGCACATCATGTATGTGGCACAGGGTCTGACTCATAGTAGGCATTGGTGATTAGCGAATAAAAACAAGAGCGAACATTGGTCAAGGAACACCCATGTGACAGGCCTTTGTGCTGGTTTAATGCTGATAACATCTCTGTGACATAGATCCTGATATCGTCTCCATTTCACAATTGAGGAAATGAAGCACAGAGAGGTTACATAACTTGTCCAAGGCCACACAGCTAGTAAGTCGAGGAGCAAAGATTCCAGACTGACTCCAGAAACTGTCTCATAACCACTATGATATGTGGCCTTCCAGTTCTGGTCAAGAGACAGTGTATCAATTAGACTGTAAACTCAGCTGCTCTAACAAAGAGACCCCAAAATATAGTGGCTTAAATAAGATGGAATTATTCTTCTGTGATGTGGCAGTCCTGCTCTGGGTCTGAGGCCACTGCACAAGTTGCCACCATTTCTCAACCAGCAAGACAGGTAGGCAGAGAGTAGAGGGCAAGCTGCATTCTTTTTAAAGACACGACCAGGAAATGGTATAAAGCACTTCCACTCATATCCAATTGGCCAGAGAATAGTCACATGACCACACCTAGCTGCAAGGGAGACTGGGAAATGTAGTCTTGGGCTAGGTGGCCATGTGCAATGCTCATAGTCTTAGGGGTTTGGTTACTAAGAGTGAAAGAGGAATGATGGATTCTAGGGGAGACGTAATGGCCTCTGCCATAGTCAGGGTTCCCTCTCTGAGATCCAGATTGGTTTTGGGGTCTCTGGAAGGATAGGAACTGTAGAAGGACCCTGGGAAAGAGGGGCCATCACTGCCCACATGGTGTCTTGAAAGAGTTACAAAGAGGGTCTTTTCCATTTTACTTCTACCTGTTGAAAAATTGTCATAAATACAGGTATCCTTGGTATTCAAATATATTCCTTCCCTGAGTTTGGATAGTAAGAGTTCAGATAGCAAAGTGTTTGCCAAGTTGATTTGGTTCCTGAGGTTTGAATGATGATTAGCAAGGGATTCAGCCACAAATTTCTTGGAATCTATTGAATTGCTGAGTTTGGGGAGGGGAGAGTTGGGATGAGTGAGGGGTTAATTTGTAGGGGTAGAGTTCGAAGAAGGGACAGTTCAAAGGAGGGGAGACTTGCGGGGGGGAGAGTCAGGAGAATGATGCTGGAATGATGTGCACAACCTGCCCAACTGTACTTGGCAACCTTGTCTCTGAGCTCCAGGCTGGTCTCAGGCCTGGATGCCCAGGAGTCAGAGGGGCTGGAGAAAAGGCTCATGTCTGAGCTCAGGAGGGTTGAGGTATCTGGTTGCAGGACAGGAATCAGGGACTGGGGCCCTAACCTGCCTTGGGACCCCACCCTGACCTGTCCCTCTCTGCCCACAGCTCGGGTACCCCACGGGTGCCCCCCGCCTCCCCCTCTAGTCACAGCCTGGCTCCCCCACCGGGGGAGCGGAGCCGTCTAGCCCGCGGCTCCACCATTCGCAGCACCTTCCACGGTGGCCAGGTCCGGGACCGGCGGGCAGGGGGCGGGGGTGTGCAGAACGGGCCCCCCGCCTCGCCCACACTGGCCCACGAGGCCGCACCCCTGCCTACCGGACGGCCCCGCCCCACCACCAACCTCTTCACCAAGCTGACCTCCAAACTGACCCGAAGGTGAGCCCCATGGGGCGGAGGGGTGGGCGTGGGGTGGGGGGGCCAATGGGGCGCTAACCTGTCTTCTACTCTGCTCTGCCTTCTGTCCCTCCACATCTCCTCCTCCTGTCCCGCCTCACCACCCTCCTCGCACTGCAGGGTTACCCTCGATCCCTCTAAACGGCAGAACTCTAACCGCTGCGTCTCGGGCGCCTCTCTGCCCCAGGGATCCAAGATCAGTAAGTCCCCCTACCCTCCTCCCTCTGCCTCCCTGTGTTTCTGGTCTGCATGTGCAGGGGTGGAGGTCTGTGGGTGTGAGTGGGGTGGAGTCTGGTTGTTCCCTCATTCATTGAACAAGACAGTAGAGTGGCCAGAAGCCTGACCTCCCGAGCCAGACTCTCGGGGTTCCAACCCCAGCTCTGCTGAGTGGCCTTGAGCAAGTCTCTCACCCTCTCTTCTGTAAAATGGGAATAGTAGTAACAGTACTTTCCTTGAAGGGTTGTGGTGAGGATTAAATGAGGTGATATATGGACTGAGAGCTTACAACCTTGCCTTGGGAAATGCTTTATAAATGTTTACTATTATTGTTATTCATTGAGCATCTACTGTATACCTGGCACCATCCTAGGCCCTGGAGTAGAGAATGAACGAAATATATAAAATCCCTGCCCTTGTGGAGCCAACATTCTACTACAAGGGGATTAAGCTAAAAACCCAAACCCGTTGCCGTCGAATGGATTCCGACTCATAGCAATCCTATAGGACAGAGTAGGACTGCCCCATAGGGTTTCCAAGGCTGTAATGTTTACAGGAGCAGACTGCCACATCTTTCAAACCGCCAGCCTTTCGGTTGGCAGCTGAGTGCTTAACCACTGCGCCACCAGGGCTTCTTAGACTGATAAGTAAGTAAAGCACGTAGACTGTCAGGTAGTGACAAGTGCTAAGGAGGAAAATATAGCAGGAAGGGGGTCAGGGGCATGGGGAAGGGAGGATCATGGTTTCAAATGGGGCAGGCCTCACTGAAGGGAGGGGTCATTTGAGCAGAACCCTGAAGGAGGGGTGTGTGTGTGTGTGTGTGTGTGTGTGTGTGTGTGTGTGTGTGTGTGCATGTGTTTCTCTCTGTTGCCCCTTCTATCTGTAGTGTGTGTCTGCCCACCCCCCTCGCTTCCGACTCCCACGTTTTTCAGTATCTTTCCTATGACTTCCACTAACCATTTCAGAACGGGCCCCCTTCTGGGATGGAGAAAGGGATGAAATCCTGACTGCAGGCCCTCCCCAGCCCAGCTTCATCTAGCCAGAAGGGAGAGGAGCTGAGGCAGGGGTTGCCCACAGTTCCGGGGGCACTGACTTGGGGGAGGGGTTCCCCTGTGCCCAGATTAGACACTGCCTTCCTCCCTCCCCCAGGGTCGCAGACGAACCTGAGAGAATCGGGGGACCTGAGGTCACAAGGTGAGTGATATACCTGCCCCTGGCTGCCAAACCAGCCCCTTCACCTGCCTCAGCCCTTAGAAGATACCTGTGTCGCATCCTCCAAGGCCAGCTTCCTGAAATGCCCTACAACCCGTCGCTCCTCTTGCCCACTACCTTGATTTCCTCTTACTTCCATCCTATCTCAGAGCACCTTCCCTTGACCAGCTTAACTTCATCAGCACCTTATCTACAGATCAACCTCCCAGTCACTCCTCTCCTTTTTACACCCACCTCCTTTCCTCTCATCCATCAATGGCAAACGGCTGCGGGCAGCTCTGGGCCAGGGCATGATCAGCATGATCTGCACAGGGCCAGATAGCAAATCTTTTAGGCTTTGTGGGCCAGACAGTCTCTGTCACGACCATTGAATTCTGCCACTGTAGCAAAAGCAACCATACCAAACCCACTGCCCTTGAATCAATTCTGACTCATAGCAACCCTGTATAGGACAGAGTAGAACTGCCCCATAGGGTTTACAGCCAGAATGCTCCTTAGAAGTGAGAATGGCGAGACTTTGTCTCACGTACTTTGGACACATTATCAGGAGGGACCAGTCCCTGGAGAAGGACATCATGCTTGGTAAAGTAGAGGGTCAACGAAAAAGAGAAAGACCCCTTGACAAGGTGGATTGACACAGTGGCTGCAGCAGTGGGCTCAAACATAGCAACGATTGTGAGAATGGCACAGGAATGGGCAGTGTTTTGTTTTGTTGTACATAGGTCCACTATGAGTTGGAACCGACTTGATGGCACCTAACAACAACAATCTTTACAGAAGCAGACTGTTGCATCTTTCTCCTGCAGAGAGGCCAGTGGGTTTGAAGCGCCGAACTTTCGGTTAGCAGAAGAGCGCTTAACCACTGTGCTGCCAGGGCTTCTCAAAAGCAACCATAAAAAAAAAAAAAAAACTGTTGCCATCAAGTCAATTCCGACTCATAGCAACCCTATAGGACAGAGTAGAACCATCCCACAGGGTTTCCAAGGAGCAGCTGGTGAATTCGAACTGCCGACCTTTTGGTTAGAGCGGAACACTTAACCACTGCGCCACTAGGGCAATAAAAAACAAATGGGCATGGCATGTTCCAGTAAAACCAGCTGAGAACAAAGTCCCTTCCCTATAGTTCTTACAAAGTCCCAGGTCTGATTCTCATTGGCTGGGACTAGGTCACATGCTTCTACCTAAACTAATCCCTATGGTGAGAGGAATAGAGTACTCTCATTGGTCAGACCTGGGTTATATACACATCCTTGAACCAATCACAGTGGTCAGGGAGGTGGAATGCTCTCATTGGCCAGAATGGAGTCATGTGCTCACCCTTTAAAACAGAGCGGGGCAGTCAGCCCCACCTGAACCAGAGAGACCAAGTCTGCAATGCTTCTCAAGACACTTTTCGGCACCTTAGCAGGACATTTCTTTGTTGTGCAGGGTCACCTCTCACATTGTGGAACAGTTATCATCCCTGATCCCCCACCTAATAAATGCCAGTAGTGCTCCCATCCCAAGACACTGTTACAATCAAAAATGCCCCCCGCACCAAATTTAGAAACAGAAAGGATTATCATACCCATGTCCAACTCTCAACATTTATAGTTCTTAATGAAATGAAATCATCACTACCCAGCTAGTGAACCATATTTCCTTTTCGTTTTTTTCGGATGCCGGATAGTCATCTTTGTTTCCAAGGACAGCACATCACTTCTCACTGGCAGCAAATCCATTTTACATTCATTTGACAAACATGTAATTTACATCCACTTTGGAACAGGCACTATGCCTTTTGTATCTCCCCCAGGGAGCTTCCACTCTTAAGATGTAGGCAAATGTGAAACAACTATACAAAGAGTTGAATCCTGAAAAGAAGTGTCTAAATATCTTGTAAGCATCTAGCTGGGAAATTTTTTGTTATCTCAGTTGCTTGCAAAGTTAGCCATTTTGATATATAACCAAGAAAGGACGCAGATAAGCATATATAATGTTAAGTTGGTTATTTTTTTTCCTTCAGTTCATCTTTTTTTCTAAATTTTATTTATTATATTGTTGAGAATATACATAGCAAAACATACTCCAATTCACATGTACAATTTAGTGACATTGATTACATTCTTCACGTTGTGTGACCGTTGTCACCCTAAGGTTGTTATCTAATCTTTCCCGTTGCTGTTGTCAAATTAATCCCATATAGATAGTTCTTAAAGAGCATAATGCTCAAGGCAGACCTTTTGTACTAGTTAAACTAAACTGTTGTCCGGTTTTAAGATGACTTCAGGGGATATTTTTGGTTTAAGGTTTAAAGATTATCTCAGGGCAATAGTTCGGGGTTCATCCAGCCTCCGTGGCTCCAGAAAGTCTAGAGTCCCTGAGAATTTGAAATTCTGGGGAACCATATTTTCTTTTGCTCTAATACTACATTAAGCCCCTCTCTTCCTTTTCTTTAGCTTGGTCAAGGGCATTAACCCATTAAAGCCTCAGTTCCCAAATTGTATGCCAAGGCATCACAGATGCCACAGGATTTCACATTCTCCAGGGGAATATGGTGATATGTGACATCTGTCAGACACAGCCAGAACCCAGCATAGCTCCGTTTCAGCATTTGATGCACTACATCCCTTTTGCTGACATCATGTCTTTGAGGATCTGGCTATGCTAAAAACAAGTAGTGCATGAAAATCAGTATGCAGCAGGAAATGAGGGTGGTGGTATCCCATCGGATTCCAGGCTTTGAGAAGCTGTGCAGTGCCCAGCAAGCTCACACATCCCGTTTGTAAGTAATTTTTATGATAGGAGAATAAAAAGCCTTTGTTTTTTTCTATTAAAAAAAAAAAAAAAAATGTCCCCAGATACTCTTAAAATGCCTCACGGGCCATGAGATTTTTGTGAATTTTGGTTGTAACATAAAAAAAAAAAAACGAAAACAGAAAAACCCATTGCTGTCGAGTCGATTCCAACTCATAGCGACCTGTAGGTTAGAGTCAGTTGCCCCACAGGGTTTCCAAGGCAGTAATCTTTATGGAAGCTGACTGCCACATCTTCCTCCCATGGAGCAGCTGGTGGGTTTGAACTGCCAACCTTTCCACTGTGCCACTGGGGCTCTAATATACACAATGTCTAATGTACAAAAATCCATCATCACTTAACTCTTTGAAGGAGAAGCAAAAGGAGTAAGACCACTTTGAGTAGTGATTATGAAGTATGCTGTTTTCTACAGTAATACTTCATAGTATAATAAATTAGTAATAGGAATTTTCTTTTTGAAAAAAGAAAAAGTCCCCAGAAATTCGCACACACCACTTGAGACAGTACTGCTTCTAATGAGAAGCCCTGATCTACAGGGAGGAGATTCGTCTTCTGAGGGAAAAGTAGCTGTTACCAGAAGAAGGGTGTATTAGGAAACAAGCTCAGCTGCTGTAACAAAGAGGCCCCAAAATACAGTGGTTTAAGTAAGATAGGGCAGTAATGGTTCAGTAGTAGAATTCTCACCTTCCATGCAGGAGACCTGGGTTTGATTCCAGGCCAGTGTACCTTATGCACAGCTGCCACCCATCTGTCAGTGGAGGCTTGCATGTTACTAGGATGCTGAACAGGTTTCAGTGGAGCTTCCAGACTAAGATGGCCTAGGAAGAAAGGCCTGGTGATCTACTGAAACTCAGCCTGTGAAAACTGTGTGGGTCACGAAAGTCTGGTCCACAACCGATCATGGAGATGGTGCAAGACCGGGCAGCATTTCATTCCATTGTGCATGGGGTCACCATGAGGCAGGGGCCGACTCGATGTCAGCTCACAAGAACAAGAGTAAGATAGGAATAATCTTCTGTCTCACATGCCGTGTGGTCATTGGAATATCCAGGATTCTTCCACCTTGTTCCCCATCGCTTAGAGCCCCATTGTCATCTTGACAGTTGACTGTGACTCAGGCCATAACCAAGCACCAGCTCATAGGAGGTGGGGACAGGGTCCAGGGCGTGTAGTTTCCTTCTGAGGAGGTGACATGGACGTTATACAAATCACTTCGACTTGCATCCCTGAATTTAGAGACAAGGCCACGCCTGGCCACTGGGGTGGCTGGGAAATACAATCTCTCACTGGGTAGCTGTGTGTCCAGCTGAAACTCTGTCACAGAGGGAAAAAGGGGACAGTGGGCTTTGAGGGGATAGCTGGGAGTCTGTCGCAGAGTGAGAAGAACTGTCCCCTTTGTCCTCGACTCAACCTTCTTCTCCGCTGTCATTCCTGACTTCCCGTCTCTACTCCTCCCAGTTGCCATCTACCTTGGGATCAAGCGGAAACCGCCCCCCGGCTGCTCCGATTCCCCTGGAGTGTGAAGCTGACCAGCTCACGTCCTCCCGAGGCCCTGATGGCGGCCCTGCGCCAGGCCACTGCAGCTGCCCGCTGCCGATGCCGCCAGCCACAGCCGTTCCTGCTGGCCTGCCTGCACGGGGGTGCGGGCGGGCCCGAGCCCCTGTCCCACTTCGAAGTGGAGGTCTGCCAGCTGCCCCGGCCAGGCCTGCGGGGAGTTCTCTTCCGCCGTGTGGCGGGCACCGCCCTGGCATTTCGTACCCTCGTCACCCGCATCTCCAACGACCTCGAGCTCTGAGACACCACAGCACCGGGCCCCTTCCTCTTCCTCTCTCGTGCCCCCCTTGCCTTCTACAGGAAGGGAAGGGGCCAGGGAGGGGGCTCTCCCTTTATCATCACCTCAGTTTCCCTGAATGAGATTTCAGGACAGAGAATGTTCCCTCTGCTGTTCTCTGGGGCCACTCGGCATGTGAGGGGTTGGGGGGGGGGCTTAGCAGGGAGGAGCTGGCACCTCCCTGGAGCCTCCAGCCAGCCTTGTCCCCCCTCGCCCTGCCATGGGGTACCTGAGGAGACTTTGGGGGCAGGTCAGGTGCAGTAAGGGAAACTGGGGAAACACTTCCATTCCTCACAAAAGCTCGAGAATTCGGCCTTGGGCAGGGGCAAGGAGAATCGCTGAGCCTAAAGACTGGAGAATTTGGCGGGCCGGGAGTGGGGTTCAGAGAGGCAGATTCCTTCCCATGCCCCCTCCCCACAGGCTCGAACCCCCTTCCTGCCCCAGGCTGGCGCGAGTCACTTTGTACAAATCCTTGTAAATACCCCAGCCCCTCCCCTCTGCAGAGGTCTCCCGAGGAGCTCCCGCCGTTGCCTCTGGGTTTTTAAGTTATTACACCCCCACCCTCCTGTCAGCCCCCTCACCTGCAGCCTGTTGCCCAATAAACTTAGGAGAGTCCCCCCCACGCTGCACCTGGGGTGTTCCTTCCCTGCCCTCACCTGCAAGGGACATGAAGAGGAGGTGTGTGACTCTGGACCAGTGATTTCTCCTTTCTGAGCCTCGGTTTTCTCATCTGCAGAATGGGAGCAGTTGGGGGTGTGAGAGTCAAGGATGACCATGAAAGAGAGTGGGACAGAACTCGGCCTCGTCCACAAGGCTCCCCAGCACCTGTGTCGGGCTCCCCGTTCATCCACTCACACACCCACCTGCCCGCCTGCCACGTTACACTGGACTCTTAGCCACTTCTTACTCCAGTAGTTCATTTATTCAATAAATAGTCCTTGACCAGTGTCTGCTCTGTGCCAAGCCCAGTGCTGGACATGGAGATACGAGGAGCTCCCATCTAGGGCAGTGGGGCATGGGTTCTAAAACAATCAACTTGAGAAACCAGTTCCCTGGGGAGCCCAAAAGAGGGAGTGTGGAGAGTCGGGAAGGTTTCCTAGAAGGAATGGTGCTGAAGTTGGGCTTTGAAGGATGAGTAGGAGTTGGCCGGGCATTGGGTATGGCCTGGACAAAAGCCTGGAAGTGGGGTGGTATATCTTCAGCTGAACTGTGGGTAAATTCAGTGTGGCTGCTATGTTGGCGGTGGGTGGAGGATTAACAAAATCCTCCATACTGCTAAAGCAAAAAGGCATCTGTTGGTGTATGTTACTTAGAAGCCAGGGGTGGCTGGCTTTAGGTATGGTTGGATCCAGGCATCAGGCTATCTCTGCTCATTTCAGCATCGGTCTCATTCTCAAGGTAAGCACGGTCCTGGTGGCAAAGATGACCTCCAGCATTTTCAAACTTGCATCCCTCTGGCTTCATTTCGGCAGTAGAAAGTTCCTCATTCCCGACTTCCCACGAAAGTCCCAGTGGAGACTCTCGCTGGCCCTGATAAGTCATGTGATCATCCCTGAGCCAGAATACTCTCAACGGCCCAAGTTTCCCCAAAGGAAAGTCAAGGTGTCGTGAGCAGAAGAAGCTGGACAGACTTAAGCAGTAGAACACTATCCGGTACAGGACTTGCTTCCACAGGGCCTTGGAGCCCTGTTGGCGCAGTAATTAACAGCTCTAGAGCTCAGGCTGCTAATCAAAAGATCGGCAGTTCGAATCCATCAGCTACTCCTTGGAAACCCCATGGGACAGTTCTGCTCTGTCCTATAGGGTCCTTATGAGTCAGAATCGACTCAACAGCAATGGGTTTGGTTTATGGGCCACAGCAAGCTGGCTTTTCTCTTGAGGGAATTGGGGAGCCATGGAGGGCTTTATGCAGAGAAGAGACTCAGTCAAAGCTGTGCTTCAGTTGCCCATCTGGAACATGGTAGGGTCAACCTTGTGTTTTTTATGGGGGCTGGTGGGAAAGTCAAATGAGAAATGAGGGTGGTAACAGTTAAGGGTAGTCAGTGTTGAACATTTCTGGGCCTAGGCCGGAGTGGTTAAGAGCTCGGCTGCTAACCAAAAGGTCAGCAGTTCAAATCCACGAACCGCTCCTTGGAAATTCTGTGGGGCAGTTCTACTCTATCCTGTAGTGTTGCTATGAGTTGGAATCTGACTGGACAGCAATGATTTTGGGGTTTTTTTCTTGGGGAGAGGGGAGCAAACCCCATTCCTGTCTTACTGAGCGAGGCCAGAAGTGAGGGCTGCCAGGATGGTGATGTGTTGAAGAATGAGGTGCTTATAGTTAGTGAGGGCAGAAATATTGGGAAGGAGGGACCAACCCTGTCTTGAAATTTCAATCCCTGAAGGCTTTCTCTGGGCCCATCCCCGCCTCATGGGGTTCACATTTCAGTGGTGTTAATAGACATGTCCCTAAACAGTGGTGACCCGGGTGGGCAGGACTGGGATGGTGGATGCTAGGAGTTGGGGGTAGTCCAGAGATGGGGTGCCTGCCCCAGCCAGGGAAGGCTTCCTGAAGGAGGAGCAACTGGGCTGTGACCGGAAGGTTGAGAGGAGCTAGTGAGACACGGGGAGGATGGTGTGTGTTCTAGGTAGATGGAACAGCATGTACAATGGCTGGGAAGCAGGAGAGCTCAGGTCCTTTGGCAAATGGCGTATTGATTCAGGGTGAGTATGGTGTCGCTGGGAGAGATGTGGGCAGGGCCTGGAAGGTCATAGAGAGGGACATGGGCTTTCTCCTAAGGGCACTGGGGAACCATGGAGGGGTTGTGAGCAGGGGGAGGCAGGGGCAGGTTTGTGCTGTGTGCAGGATGAACGAGAAGGAGGAAGGAGACCCGTCAGGAGACTCAGGAGAAAGAAAGGGCAAGAAGGAGTGGATTCAAGAGAGAAGAGGCAAAGTGGGCAGGACATGGTAACTGATGGGTACCAGGGCTGCAGGAGAGGGACGGGCCAGGCTGGTTCAGACTGTCCCCGCTGGGGTGGTAGGCTCAGCGGGTGGAACTGGATTAGTGGTAGGCTCTTCACTTGAGGGTAATATTGTAAAGGGAATCCCAGCATCTGACAGGTACTGCATGACCTTTGGGGTCCCTTCTAACCTTCCTATCTCAGCAACTTCCCTGGGGACCCTTGGGGACACCCTTGGGCCTCAGGTTCTCTATCTGTAAAACGTGGTGAGGGATTTGTTGATCTCTAAGGGTCTTTCACCTGTGTCACTCATAAGGTTTGAAATAGAGCCTCTGCCGGGTTGTTGAGGGCTCTGTCTGCCACTTACTCAGTCTCACATTTCTTCTGAAGCCTTTGTACCTTTCTGGCCCCACCTATCATACCCTTGCTTAAGTAGACCTCAGCCTGTTGGGCTGAATAGAGATACTATATTCAGATGCGTTTTGATTTCTTTTACCTACTCCTCCCACTCCAATTGCTCTGTCATGCCCCTCTACCAGCTCCTTCCTGGGACCAAGCTCTCCAAAATGTGGATTCCCTAAAGACTTCATGGGGATGCCCTGATCTAAGCCATGGTCTGCAGAAGGAAACAGCTTGAACAAAGACACTGAGGTGGGAATTGCAGGGTGTAAGGAGCAAAAGGAGTAGTGGCAAAATAACTGGAAAGATAAGTCTTCAGCAAATGGTATGCATTTCAGAGTGACCTTGAAGAATATTAAATATCAGGAGTGACTTCTAAGCTTTGGGGAGACATGGAAGGTTCTTGAGCAAAGTAGTGAGGGAAGTTCAATAGAATGGTAGCAGCTATAAAGGGATGAAGTCAGACCAGACAGAGGGAGGCCAGTGAGGAGGCTGGAACAGCAGCTCAGGACAAGTTCTAGAGCTTGGACAAGAGAGGAGATCATACAGGAGGTAGATCTGATGAGATGTATGGGAGCTCTCAAGCTGGAGGCCCGCAGGCCAAATTTAACCCTCAGGCATTTTGTTTGGCTGGCCCATTTCAATTTTAAATTTGAATGCTTTGAGGCTTTCCGTTCACACAGATCAGACTGCATTTCTCTCCCGTGTGGACCCTGTGTTTGAGATCTGAGCGTAACCAGTTGGGAGCGGATGGTGGGAAAAGCCCAAGCTTGGCTGTGTGACATTGGGCAAATCATCATACCTCTCTGGCCCTCATATTCCCCATAGACACAATTTTGGGGCTAGACTGGGTACCCCTAACTTTGCTTCATTTTAGAGATGAGATAAAAGATGCCTAGTACATGCCTAGAGAGGTCACACAGCAATCAGTTGCAAAAGTCCCCTCTCCCTCTATAGCTATCGCACACAAAGCTAAGGCCGCCTTTGCTTTTATTCCTTTGGGCAGAGAAAAAGCCCAAGCTCTAGAAGTACCAGGGAGCTCCCCGTTAGTCAGAACTCCTGATGGTGGGCGGAGCTTTGGGAAAAAGGGAGGTTTCTCATTGGCCGGAGCCCACAGGATGGAGCCTATTGATTGGAACTCTGGTTGGGGTTGGAACTCGGAGAAGGGTGGCTAGAGGCCCCAGCTGGCTGAACGACTATGGGAGGGGCTCCCGATGGAAAGGGCGGGGCAAGGGATGAAGGGGTGGGCCTTCGGTGGGGCAGGGCCCTCCCATTCGCTGGGGCTCCAGCAGTCGGCGGCGGACGAGCGCACTGGGCGCCTACTTCTGGGCGGGGATCATGTCGTCGATGGACCCACCCTTCTCCAGCTTCTTCTCCATCTCCACCATGAGCTTCACGCCATCTACCACCAGCTGCACCTGTTCTACCTCGGACGAACCCAGCCGATCGGCGTTGGACACATCGAACACTGAGCCCACGGCAGCGGTGTCCACGCCACCTGCGGGAGTAGGGGACAGGAGCGTGAGGAGGGACAGGAGATGCAGGAGCAGGCCGGGGATGCGGCCCCGTGCCAACTGCAACAGCCTCGTGTAGTGAGCGCCCACTGCGTTGTGTATATGCAGACT